AGTAGTGATACACGACCGCACACCGGTACGATGCTCATCCAGATCGAAACGGGCAGGGGTGGGGCTCGAACCCAGGATCCCCGGGTTCTGCAGCGCGAGCTTTCGCTCCACGTGCTCCGAGCTGGTGTGCGCTAGACCACTCGGCCACCGATCCCCCCCTGTCTTTTTGTATGACGTATGAGCAGTGTTACCCCATCTCTAAGATGACCATGTCTGGTGAACTGTTCTCTGTGCTATAAAACTCTTAATGTTTTGGCATGAAGCTGCGAATCATAGTGAAGAGGGCGGAAATACTTCGATTTTTATCGCGCACAGCAGTACCTTGAGGGCATGGCTGTAATACTTTGTTTTTATTACAAGTACGTAGCTATGACTCTTCAACGACAGGTAGAGACACCGAGTCAACGACGAAACGTTTGTCGTCAACGTGAAGTTTGTTGAAGCGAGCCTTAAAGGGTACGTTCATACTCTTTCCGTACTCAAAACTTTGCTGTAGGCAATTCGTACAGACGCAGAAGAATACTCGCATGCGGCATAGAGGGTTTCAGTTTGAAACCGGAGGCCAAGGAGCTTTCTTTTCGTTTGAAACGGGCAAAATTTACAGTGATCGGCCTAGTTTTTTCGGACTGGAATTTCCCTACGCGGTGCGATCTTTCCAAATTAGAAAGGTCAAGATGTACGCCTAACTTTTGCGCAAAGAACTCAATAACTTTTTTTTTCTGATTGTTCCCGCGTTTCAGTGTGGTTATCTAAGCAGCCGAAGAATAACAGATTGGACCTCCTAAGCCTATTTTCGTTGTCATCTCACTGTTTTTGAATATTCGCCAAGTCGACAGGTATATTTTTGTCATGCGGTGTCGCAGCTGAGTGTTCACCTCGGTCAGCTTTGTTTCCACGGCACTTATTCTGAAAAACAGCCGTTGAACCAATGCGTCAGAAGTCTTCTGATTGTTTTCTAAAGACACAACTTTTGCTAGCATGTCTGACTGCGCAGCCTCGATTCGTCGGACGGCAGCGAGAATAAAGCGATTAGTTCAACATCAGTTAGAGGCCCCGGGTTCGTTTCTACGTCTCTAGACATTAACAAATGAGCCGGGAGACAAGAAAAACGCAAGAGTAACGCAAACAGTAATAACACAGCCACTTCCGCAAAGAAAGCTCGTAGGGGTACGACATCGCAATCAAACACAGTTCGCTGCTTTGGTAACAATTGAGCCTTATAAGGCAACTATCCTGAGAAAGAAGAGGGGTTCGATCGCTGTTTGGGTCTAGCGACGTCGCGTCCCCTGTACTTGGTTCAAAAACTCGTCGAATAAGCACGCTCAGAAAGACGGCGGACGCCGTTAAGTTGCGGTTTCGGCACTACTTTACTGCGCTCCTAGCCTCGTGCGGTACGTTGGCTGAAGTTTTAGAGTCGTGGCAGCGGTACCGGTACACTCGAAAAAAAAAAAACACAATAGTCTGTGAGTTCGCTTTTTTTGGCAGAACACGGGGGCTGATAATCACAGCGACGAAGAGATCTCACCAAATAACGTATCTCAAAATACGAAATAAAAAAATTAAATGGGCGTAGAAACAATGATCTCGTCAAACGTCATTCTCAGTGTCCCTGCGTCTGTTCCGAGCTTGGTCGTTCGCTGGGATCCTCCGGTTGTTAGCCTCGATTGGCTGTCTCCGTGTTCTTCAGGACTCGCAGACTTTTCTCAGAGCGCGCATCTTTCGATCGTCGCTCGGCCCTTTCGGCATATCTTGCCCGCCACAGCCATCGCTTTCGAATCACGACGCTGTCGTTGCACAAATACGGGTGAAGACGAGCTCGGTATTCTGCACGTTCCTTATGCAAAAAAAAAAAAAAAAAAGTAAAAATATTTGTTGATTATTAAGTGGCTGAATTACGTCAACGCCCATTTCTATACTGTATCGTCTGAGTAGGGTTCGACCAATACCACCTGGAACACAAGGCCTGCGCGTTTCCTCCTCTAAATGTCATCACTAGTAGATCCCCTCAGCGCCCATTAAGCAGCACGGATGAGCACAATGGTCTGCTACATCGTCTGCTCCATCGTCTGCTTCAGTGGTTTATGAAGCAGATAATGAAAGCTATGCTCACGCCGAGTGTCTGTTGCTATAGACCTGTTGCTTTCGGCCAGGGGGCGCTGTAGCGTTTACGAGACACGACCACAGAAGAGGCCTCTCCGCTATCGTCTGCGAAACGCGACAACAGGCGTCTTAGCGTCCCGTCATGCACCTTCCACAGGTGTAAACTAGCGTATGTGAGCGTCGTTCCTCAGCGTCTGCTCATGGTTCATGCGCACTGACAGAGCGTTTGAAAGGATGGAACGTACGCACAGCGGAAGCGCGACCTAGAAATATCTGATGTTGCTCGCCAGGGACGCTGTTCAAAACTTGAGAGCTAAGTGTTTATAGCATACGATGAAGTACACGTTCACGTGGAACGTCAAATGCATCAGTGAAAATGCCTTATTGCTGTGCGAAGGGCTGCAAAGCCCTTCGCTTGGTGCTGGACGCTGGCACTTGACGCCATTTTAGGGAGCGCTGTTTATACTCCGTTCACTCTAAAGCAGAGAATGCAGCGGGGGAGCTATACAGGAACTCTAAATTGAACGGCAGCTTGAACCACCTAATCTGTGTTTTTCTTTTTTTCTTTTTTTGTGGATATACGCAGCACCGCGTTTAGCTTGCGTCAGTTTCGTAGAGAGCGCGTCTCGAGTGGAGCGCGACGACAGCGCGTGGCGACGCCGACGGACGCGTCTGCCGCTTTGCGGCACCTCTCAGCGAGGTTTAGCGAGGTTTGTCGCTTCAGCGTGTTGACCGCTGCAGGGAACATACATCGAGCCACGACGTCGAGTCGTATACGGCAAGCGAGCGTTCTGTTGCGTTGTTTTGCTGGCGCGCAAACTGAGAAGCTGTACATGCGGAAAAATGGCGAGTATACCACATTCACGTGAAAAACGACGACTACGTAAGAAGTAATGGTGCCACCGGTATTGCGTAGGGCATTTATACAGCCGAGGCTAATTAGGCCACCCCTTTTCACATAAATATATATAAAAGAAGCAGCCTGGAATGCTTCCACTCTGATTTGCCATGAAAGGATAACTAGTTGGTGCATTTGCTTGGCAAAATATTGAAGTAAAACTTACCTTAATAGAAAATTACCAATAACATAAATGAATGATTGTCCTGAGGATCATGAGCCTACAGATTCAGGCCTTTTCAAAGTAAACGTTAGAAAATAAAATAATTCTGGGCCGTTCAAACACTTTATTGAATAAAACAAGGAACCAGAGAATGGTCACATAATTGTACTCCACTCTTCCTGTATTTATTAAATCTGACGTCCTAAAAAACCACATCAACGCTTTTCTTTTTTTACAGTGACACAAAAAATGCTTTGGGACAATTTTGGTTTTTATTAGTAACTTATGATCGAGTTGATTTTTGACTTCTTCACAAAACAAACGCACCACCTCTATGCACCTTTGCCTGAAACTGCATTATTGGAGGGTGCGAAATTGACTTTTGAAACTCGTTTAAAGGAGAGTGAGATCCGCTGGGCCCCCGGCCTAGAATGCTCTTCGCCCCTCTGACCGCAAAGTGCAGGCTTGTATGCCGGTGGGGCGGAACACAACTGAAACCGGCCCAGCGCGCGGGTCAATCGTCCTTGGAACGAGATGACGACTGCACCACCTCAAAAACACGCAGCGGTGTTTGAGACGAAGCATCTCACTTTTTTCGGAGCCAACCGACTCTCCGGGCTCTGACATGCATGGGGCTACGTCGATTGTGTGCGCTTCTCAACAGACAGGGACTGACAGCCGGGACGTCGCGTCGCCGTCACTAACGCAATCGACACATTTTTAAAAATTTTTTTTTTTTTGTTAACGCGAATGTTTTGAACGAGAACGAGAGCTCGTTTTTGCAATCATTTTTTTTTTTTTTTTGTTAAACGTGAAAAAAACGACCTCAAACTGAAGGAGGCTAAGAGGCGATCCCGGGACGTTTTCCGCTGGAGTAGCCGAACGTGCTCCGCTTGCGCGTTCTCAGCACCGTATAGTCTCACAGTCACGGAAGATGACCACCTCCATCACTAACACTGAGAATAATATGGGATTCGTCTCAGCGTCTCCCCGCCACCAACCGTTCTGTGTAGTCCCGAGTCGCGTACTCCTAATTCGCGACGACACACTTTGCGCGCGGCACATTTTCAAACCACACAGTCAGATCAGTATTCAGCTACCTGCGTGTCTTCGTCGCTGATTTCGGAGAACTTTCCAAACGAACAACGAAGAACGAACTCAAGCAGCGGCAGCGATCAGTCATTCCGGGATTCAAACTAAAAAAAAAAAAATAATAATAAAAGAAAACGCGCTTAGGACAAAAAGTTCGGAATGTTGGGAAGGGAAAGAGGGACGGACGTTAAGAAAAATGAAGAAAAAAGAAAAACTCGCCTTTTTTCCTCTTTGACGCGGCTAATGAGCAATGACGGCGGATGACGAAAAACAAAAAGCGATCAGGGACGGTGAGCAAGTGCAACGTTATGATCAAACATCGTATCCAAATGTATTCCGATCTTAGTCACTCCATAAGATCCTTTTTGTTCGCCGTGACTGGCCGTCTCCGTATTCTTCAAGAAAGCGATAGCACAGACCTTTTTTTCTGAGCGTCGAACACGCTCAGAAAAATTGCCCCTAGAGAAAAAAAAAAAAACAATGGTTAAAAATGGCACTTGATTCTGACAAATGGGACAAGGGACAAACAAACACGTGCCAGCTTGTGCCAAAAGGTCGAAGGCCAAAGATTGGCCGCACACCTCGTTGCCTGAGTTGATACCTGAAGCTACACAAGAACTGAAGCTGAAGTACACCAGATAAGATATCTCGAAACAAAGCGGGAATAACCCTTGCTATGATTTTTGTTTTGTTTTTATAAGATATCTAGGTCTGTTTATATGAAAGATCGAGTATCAAACAAGCTTCATTTCCAAGCTTCATCCAGACCGTGAACGACATGGAAACGTTGATTATCCTGGCGATTACCCTCTTCGTCATTTGGTACATGTAAGTGGTTTCGGAGCAATCAGGTGTTCCTATTTTCGAACGTATTTACGAGTGTTGCAATTGAAACGATTCATAAAAACTTCTGAGTATGGCGTGAAACTTCCCTAATACGTAGGGTGACCATATTCCTCAAGGTAGAACACAGGGCATCCCAACGGCGGGCCGGGGGGGAGGGGGGGGGGGGGGGCAATTTCGAAACTATGCAGTCCTGCAAAAACGGGACATGTTTCTTTATTGGGGCGAAAAGACGGGACGGCAGGAGCGGACCTCAGAAACGGGACGTCTGGTCACCCTACTAATACGTCGCGGTTTTAACTCAACGATTTGTTAAATGCGATAAATATAGAGAGAAGTCAAGTTTTATCAACATCGTCGGGATAAAGTTTGAACAGTTGGCACGAGTCGTAACGCCCCTCTTGTCGCTTCTAACGGGCAACGCAACAGTTTCTTGAATGCCCCTGATTTGGCGTATTCTGCTCATGATGAACAATTTAATTTATCTATGTCCCTGAGGTTTATATCAAATGTTTATATGACTGTACTTTAAAGCAAATATGGATGAGCAAAGTCAACAAATATTTCGTGTGGTCACGAATAATTTACGAATGATTTCAGTAGGCTTTTGAAGGCTCTTCAGCACTACTAAGTGATCCTCTAAATGTGCTCTGTCTTAAAATAAAGGGTAATATAACGGCTGTTTTTTTAACGTAACCAAAATGCTGAATGAGAAAATGTGGCGTGGAGTTTATTTCCTACGCCCATACGTTGTAGTATTTGTAGATTGAACCAGTAAACTGAGACATCAGAATGCTGGAAAATGATATAATCAATGTTTCAGAATGTCGCTAGCGAGACTTGCACAAATATAAGAACTAACGTGGTCATTGTGTTGTCCAATTTGTAATTTAATTAGTATTTATGCAGGGCAATCGACCAGTGATACTATATAATACGAATAGTTCATAATGTTATAGTCATCAAGAGTCTCAGAAAAGCACGACGTGGTTTATTATGTTCACGCTTTCTATTTCTATTCTTCCTCTAAGGCTGCAATATCATTGGCTATACAATTATTATTATTAATATTATTATTATTATTATTCCGGTACCAGTTAATGATTGTACTCTTGGCTTCTTACATGTAAATATTAGAAGTAATCGTAAATATTGGGACCAGTCTCTAATAACTGTGAACATAGGTCATCACTATTTGACGTTTTCGTGCTAACAGAGATCAATGTTAAAACCGATGCCTGTGGTGAGTTCCAAATACAGGGTATAAATCTCTTTGTTTAGGAGGAATTTTAATATTTGTTAAAGACTTGTGGTGTACTGAAACACTTGATGTAGAGTTTTGCTATTGCGAGTCTTTGTCTATGAGGCTATGGAATTCTAAGTGGTCCTAAATTTTATTAGCTTTTTATAGACCCCCTTCAGTTAATCCTTTAAGATTTTTAGAAGAACTCAAGAATACACTTGGTAATTTTCAGTTTCTCGACATCTATTTAGTAGGTGATTTCAACATTGGTACGCTTCAACCCGCCAAGTCTATTGTTCGTGACTATCTCAATCGTTTAGCGCATTTTGGTCTGGAGGAACTGATTTTAGCTCCAACTCGATAAATCTTTTGAATAATAATCTTGTGGCCTCATGTCTAGATCATATAAGCATACACGTTGCGAATGTTGTTATAAAATCGGCCGTAATAGAGCAAAAATGAGCCGACCCTTACTTTATAGCGTGTCAGGTTGCACACCAACTCACGATGAAATCAACAATAGCGATAACAAAAACACTGAAAATAACTGATAGAATAAGATTCGATAAACTGGTTAAAACCTATGATGGGAATAGTCTAGTCTCCATTCAAGACTTTGATTAAGTCTACTGTACGTTTAGAGATCAATTTGACCACTCCAAGGACAATTCTAAAAAGGTTATCACTCTGAGGCAACGTTGAAGTGAACAAGAATGGTTAACAAGGGATATTTTGTCAGCTATTCGCTATGTTCTTTGATGTTCTTCGGGCTAGATGTTGGCGTCTCCAACTAATACCAACTTGAAAAAAAGAATTCTGTAGTATGCGAAATTGTGTAACCGCGCTTATTTGATCAGCAATAAGAAAATACTTTCGAGATGATTTTTTAAAGCAAGTACACATATTTCGCCGACTTTGAGTTTGATAAATCAATTACGAGGCACCGGTGTTAAGATATCTATTGATGCTTCCCTTGGTAAAGTGTTTGGTAACAATACGAAAAAAGTAATTGGGGATTTCAAAAAGTTCTTCGTTACATTTCCTGGAGTAGCTCGCGGTGATACCTTGTTCATGGCAGATTGTTTTAGATTTAAATGTTTCCTCGGCATTCCTTCCCCAAATGTCTGAACTTGACCTACAAGCTCCGCTTTTTACTTTGAAAACTGACTAGGCGCCTGGTATCGATGGGATCAGTGCAAATGGTCTGCGCCGAAATCATGATTCTATAAAACGTGTGCTCCTTCACATGTTAAATAGTTTCAATTCCTCTGAGCTGATCCCAGTTGATTAGGAAAGTGCGCTAGTGAGGCCCGTATTTAAGGGGGGAGAGCATAAAAAAAACACGACCATTATCAAACAATTTCTATTTTGCCTTGTATTGTCCAAATCTTCGAAAAACATATTTTTCAAACTATGACGGCCTTCCTTGATCACTTTAATATTCTGTCGCCCAGTCAATATGGGTTTGTCAGCGGACGTGGGACACAGCCACTTTTGGAAGATTTTGAAGACGAATTGCATCTAGCCTTCAAGAGGCATCAGGTTGCTTGCGCGGTTTTTATTGATGTAGCAAAGACATTCGATGCAGTGAGTCACAAAACTTTGCTGACGAAATTGCAGAACATTGGATTTTGCGGCCCATTCCTCTCTTCTCCGGAACTTTTTACCTGGGAGGACGCAACAAGTTTTTATAGGTAATAGTCAAAGTTCCCGAGTTACTGTGAAGGCTGGGGTTCCCCAAGGTTCTGTTTTGGTACCCCTTCTTTTTAACATTTTTGTAAACGATATGTTCAACTCAGTTTCAACGTGTAAATTGTTCCAATATGCGGATGACACAGTGCTGCTTTCGAAACATCTTGATTATCCTGTAGCAATCGCTTTATTTTAAGAGGACACTTGTCAACTTTATGACTTGTTTAAGACAAATTGTATGACGATAAATACTTCTAAAACTCAGCTTGTCTTCTGTCGTAATGGTCTTAAGATATATTGCCCAATCATCCTCTCTATATGAATACCTCTCTTTGTACATCTCGTATACCTGTTGTCTCATATCTTATGTAGATCAAGTTAAATATTTAAGAATTCAATTTGAAAGTGATTTGTCGTGAAATAATCATCTGTCAAAACTTTGTAAACGACTGAGAAATGTGTCTTGTTTACTGTAGAATACCAGGTCTTTAATACCTAATTCAACGAGAAAAACAATAGCTCACGCTTTGGCGCGGAATAACTATTTTTGGTCACAGCCCAGGACGATGGGGTCAAAAAATTAACTCAATCTTAAAAGGAATATTTGAAAACATTGTTTATGATTCAATATCGCAAACTAAAGAGATGATAGCAGTTTTTGGCTTGCCATTCAGACCGGTGCAATACACCGGTCTGAACCCTTTATTGGTTCAGACCGGTGTATTGAAACACTTCTGGTGTGATAATTTCGAAGTACCCCCATGTCGCGTCTAGATCGCTTCGGCACACCGAGCGCAATGAAATGCGCTTTGTTGAGTCAAAGTACAGAAAAAGAATTCAGAATTTTTATGTTCCATCTATATCTAATAGCTTGCCAGACGATGTTTACACTGTGGACTCACTAAAAAAAAAAAAAAAAACTGATGCATGTGCTCTGATGTAATTGCTTTGAGTGTGCTGTATATTGTGGAGGTCTCAAAGGGGTAGCGCCTTCCGGCATGGAGGCCGACCGCTCAACCTACCACCCCGCAGCGTATCATGCTAAGCGCTGCGGCGGGTTCGACTGTCGGCTGCAACCGTTAGCCGGGACTTTCAAAAGGGAGCACACGGACACGCCGAAGGCAAGGGATAATCGGGTGTTTATTTTACATGTTAAACATATAAAGATAAGAAACACGCTAAGGGGGACAAGGAAGGAACAGACCTTACCTTGTCGTGCCTTCCCGAGAGCGGGCTCGGAGGTGGGCCGTCAGGGAGGGTCGGGCCACACGTCCGAACAGTGCGATGTCCCCGCGAGCAGTCCCTTCGAGCGGGGTCCAAGGCCCCCCTCTCTCTTTCTCATTCACCGCTGGCGGCCTCAGCCAACCTCAGCCTCGGACCCAAGAAGGTCCAACCGCCAGGGGGACGTTTCGCGTGTCCCCGCAAGGTGGGGGGCACGGGGGATGGAGGCATGCGATGCGAGGGTAAGCAGCCAAGATGGCTGCTCCTCCGAGGCACGAGACGGGGCGCTCCGGCTGACGGTTGGACAGCTCGGAGCGCTTTTCCCGCGGCCATAGGGCCTAATCAGGGAAGGGAGCGGGCGGCTCCCACAATTCCCCCCTCCTCAAGATCTTGAGCACCCCTTTAGAACAATGGATGCCGGCTCTCGTTCCCCCCCAAAATGACGCGCACAGAGAAAACAACAAAACACTACAAAATACATTAAATAAATATAATAATCCATCATACATAATACATGATCCTGAATACATAATGCTACATAAAAACTTAAAAAAAAACACACTCTTGAGGAGGCCGTCGCCCGGGGCTCCTGTTTTAAAAATTCAAAAGTTCCTCCGTGAGCTGCCGCTCCTCCTCCGGGCTCAGCGCTGGTGCGGAGGGTGCCGCCTCCCCACTCACCCCGTCCATCGCCACGTCCACTGGCATCCTGAAGAGGCTGCCGTCCAAGATGGCGGCCGCGAACTCCGGCCGTCGCGCCATATACGACAGGACGGCGTCCACGGCGCCTGGCTGGTCGAGGGCGGCGTGCAGGTCAGGCGGGGCAGGCGGGGGGACCACTTCGGGCGCCCGGACCCGGCTCCGATGGATTTTGCTGTCGTCGTGGACCTCGTTAATGCGGAGGACCCCGCAGCCCTCACAGTACACCGCCGCGGGGTCCGGCATCATGGAGGCGCCCTGGGCCTCGCGGTCCGCGTCCTGGATCGTGCGGCCCCGAAAGAGCGGGGGCAGCTTGTCGGCCGGGACCCCCCGTCTGGGCCGCCGCTGTTCCGGCCATCCCCGCCAGGAGACGAAGCCGTGTGGCGGCCCGGTCCCCTGCTGCCACGTCCATGTTGCGACGTGGCGGGTCGATTTGGTGGTGGGGAGAGGGCCCGCCCCAGCCCCAGGAGACGGGGTGTCCAAGGGTGACTGTGATGGTGTCCCCGAGGCGGCCCTGGAGGAAGCCGCTGACCGGGGTTCACGTGTGTCTGCGGACGAGCGGCGCCGGGCGGCGCCATGGGGGAGGGAGCCGCTGACCTGGGTCGCCCCCGGACCCCGTTGCGACCGTTGGACTGCGCGGACGGGTGGCGCTGGGCTGCGCCGTGGGGGGAGGGAGCCGCTGTCCGGGGCTGCTCCCGGACCCCGTAGCCGCCGTTTTGGCGGGAATCATGGCCACGGCCGTAGGGGCGCCGCCTCCAGGTGGGTCTCCATTGCCCCCTCCACGAAGCCGAGGCCGTCGCCGCTCGCGGCCCCCGTCCGGCACCGTCCGCAAGTTGATGTTGTTGCTGCATCGCTTCTAAGTTTAAAACTGTATCCCGGCCCGCACACTTGTCGGGCGTCAAAATGTCTCTCCCTCCTCCCTCGCCCTCGTATCCCTACACGAGAGGGAAGAAGGGAAGGAACCCCCGGGACGGACTTTCGCAGCATCTCCCCGCATACAGCAAGGAAACTCCGCTCGGTCCCCCGTCATCCGCGTGGAGGGGGATGGGGGTAGAAAACACGACTTCGAAACGGGGCTTGGGGAACAGTCAGTGGGCCAACCCCTCGCCGAAAGTCGTAAAATCTCTTGGAGGCGCTGCTTCTAAAGGATCGCTTTGGCGGGACCGGGAGAAGGGCGTCATGCTCCTGGCCGACAGAAAACATTGCCCCCGAGGGGTGACACGTTTCCGAGAACAGGCTTGTTAGCGGGGTTGCCAATAGCTGAACTCGGACAGCCTGCGTACATTAACCGGCCCAACCGCAGAGCGGGAGGTTTCAGTTGGAATGCAGACCACGCGGTGCCATTAACAGGATATGGCACTCTGCGTACGCAAACTGAACTCGGCGGCAGAGGATGCGGCAACCTACCGAGGCAAGCAGGGGTTACCCGGTTGCTAGGAATTTTCTAGCCGTCCTTTTCGATGACTCCGCAACGTGTAGCGGGGTGCCGACACTTGGCCGTTGTCCCCGCCTCGTCGCGAGTGGGTCTGCTGCCGCGAGAAACAATGGTCCTCGGCCGACTCGTCCTCCCTCATTGTGTAAGGTTTGAGTTCGCAGACGTGTACCGGTCCACCCACGTCCCTAGATTGTAGGTCCGTTAACTTATAGACCAGGCGGGAGCATGAATTTTTGACTCGGAACGGGCCCGACCACTTTGGCGCCAGCGCGGCCGAAAAGGCCTTGCTTGCATCGCTAAGCACGTCCGTGCGCCTAAGCACGAAATCGCCCACCTGATAGCGGACATCTCTGTGCGTGCGGTCATACTGGGCCTTTTGGCTAGCCTGCGCAGCTTCCAGATTTCGGCGGGCTTCGGAAAAGATATCCGTTAACCGAAACTGTAGCTGCCGGGCGTAGTCAGCATAGGCTGGCCGCGCGTCGTTCACCCCGCTGTTGGCTGCCAGAACCCGGTCCACGGGATTCATGAGCTCATGCCCAAATGTGAGCAGGGTAGGGGTGAATCCCGTCGATCGGTTGACCGTGGATCGGAGGGCAAACCCAATCTCAGGGAGATAATTAAGTGTCCCAATCCTTGTGCCGCTCCGCATAAGCTGCAAGCATAGGTTTGAGATTGCGGTTCACGCGTTCGGTCACATTCGACTGGGGGTGGTACGTCGTGGTCCTATTGTGCTTAATGCCGAGGGCCGCACAGGTGTCCACGAATACCTTCGACGTAAAGACGCTGGCATTGTCCGTTATCAAAGCCTGAGGGTATCCAAAACGCGAGAACACCTCCATTAGCTTATCTAGGATCACTCGAGCCGTCAGCGTTCGGAGGGGAAATAGTTCGACCCATTTGCTGAAGTGATCAGTGACAACCAGCAGGTACTGATGACCCTTCGGGCTCCTTGGAAAGGGGCCGACGATGTCGCACGCCGCGAGAGACCAGGCGTGCTGACTCTTGATGGGTTGCAACAAGCCGGGGACTTTGCCGCCTCGCGGTTTTAGGCTTTGACACAGGTGGCATGACCGGGCGTATCTCAGTACGTCGCTCTTCATGTTGGGCCAGGTGGCGAAGTGACACAACTTATGATACGTCTTGGGGCCACCCGCGTGTCCGGCCGTTGGCGTGTCGTGATAGAAGCGCAAAAGCGCACCTCTCAGCCCTCGGGGCACCACCACCTTGAACGGATCACAGGTGTCGTTCTCAGATGGTATGTACCGCAAAAGAAGCCCGTCAGCGTCCAGCAAGAACGAATCCAATGCGCCAACCACATTACCAGTGGCTTCCCGACGCTGGGCGTTTACAGCAATACCAGCTGATCGCCCGGCGGCCGCGCCGCCCGACTCCGACGAGTCGCGCTCTCCCAGGAGCCCGTCGATTACTTCTCGACAAAATGGATCGTTCTGCTGAGCTTCTCGTAGCTCTTGTTTGCTAAAGGGGATCCCCACGCCTCCAAAAGAGTCGACATGGTTCACGGTTCCGTCAGAGAGCCCCGGGGGTGCCGGTGTCTCGTTGGACTGGGCTGTGCGTGGCTCGGATGCAATCACACATTTCGGCTGAGTTTCTGACCTGGAGGGGTCAGCAAGCGCAATGGGGGCCCGAGACAAGGCGTCGGCCACAACGTTCGTGCTTCCCTTTCTGTAGCGCACCTCATAGTCGTAGCGCTGCAACGTCAAAGCCCATCTCGCAAGGCGACCGGCCGGCTCTCGGAGGCGTGTGAGCCATTTCAGAGCGGCGTGGTCGGTCTCAATGATAAAAGTCGTCCCGTCAACGAACATGTCGAACTTACGGAGCGCGAACACCATGGCAAGGCACTCCCGTTCGGTCACGCTGTATCGGGTTTCGGCGGGCGTCAATGATCGGCTGGCAAAGGCGACCGGTCGGAGCGCGCCTTCGTGCTCCTGGAGCAAAACCGCACCGAGTCCCCGGTCGCTCGCGTCGGTTTGTATCACGAACGGCCGGTTCAGGTCGGGCAGCTTGAGGTTGGCGGTGGACACGAGAGCATCAGCGAGGCTTCTGAAAGCGGCCTCCTGCTCGGGGCCCCAGCTCCACTTCGCAGACTTCCTCAACAAACGGGTTAAGGGGGCCTGGACAGCCGCGCAACCAGGGATAAACTGACGATAGAAGTTTATCATTCCGAGGTAGCGGCGCAGAGAGCTTACGTCCGTCGGCGCCGGATACTCCAGGATAGCCTGGAGTTTTTCAGGGCACGGAGAGACGCCGCTGCGGTCGATCGTGAAACCCAGCAAAGAGATACGGGTCTCGGCGACTTGGGCCTTTCGGATTCAGGGTCATTCCGGCGGCCCTTAGTCTCCCAAGAACATCCTCCGAATGACGCAGGTGATCTTCGAAGGTGTCCGAGTACACGACACTGTCATCGAGGTACGCCATGGCATAGGACCATCTGGCTTCTCCGAGAACACGGTCCATGAGTCACTGGAACGTCATTGGCGCTCCTGTAAGCCCGAACGGCATGCGCGTGAACTCAAAAAGTCCACGGTGACAGACGAAGGCTGTCTTTTCTGCATCGTCGGGTTCGACTTGGACCTGTAGGTAGCCTCTGCTGGCGTCGAGCGTGGTAAAGAACTTTGCTCCGCCGAGGTTCGAGACAGGGCGCTCCGGCTGACGGTTGGACAGCTCGGAGCGCTTTTCCCGCGGCCATAGGGCCTAATCAGGGAAGTGGAGCGGGCGGCTCCCACAATATGTGCATGTGTTTGTGTGATCATCATCCTTTGCATCACAGTGCTTGGAAGTTTATGTGTGTGGGGACGCTTTTCAACCACGAATTGTAGGGTCTTATCCAACAAGCCTTTTGTCTGGCTTTGGCGGGCCCGCCTCATGACATACGCAAATAAACATTATTATTATTATTATTATTATTATTATTGCTATTGCTATTATTATTATTGGCTGCCGCCACACCCTACGTTTCTTGAGCTGCCAGTCACCAGATTTGTCTTTCCTGTGTTTTTGCCTACACTTGGTGATTGGGATTCAACATAATCTGCAGCCAAACCCTTTTATAACCTCGGTTTTATTATGTATTTATTATGCCTATCATATGAAAACAAATGAAAATAAAGTCTATGTATAATTTTGCTGGTTTAAATAGATTTCACGAATTTACATCATTTGATTTATTTTCTCTTCCTGTTTTCAATGCACTCGGCTACCGACCAAGGAAACCAACGAAATGCAGTATTTATTGGGGTCTGCAACATATGCACGAGAGCACATCCGTGTGACTGGAATATTTTGGAGGCGCCTCACAGTTTACTTCTACTAAGAACCGTGCGCCTTTCATAGTTTTTCCACCGATAACGCAGCATTACCGAAGCTGCCACAGATCCGAGTTTGAATACGTTGTCTATTTCGTTTCTGCTTCCAGGTATGCCTCTCGGTACAGGAACTACTGGAAAAGCCAAGGTGTTCCATATGAAAAGCTTTCTCTTTTCTTTGGCTTAACGCTACAGCGATTCATTAAGGTACTTAACAACATACAAAACCTAGCTTCCTATGGAAAGTAGTAGTCATTTGATTATTTTGAATTTGGTTGCAAGGTGCGGGTACGAGGCGCGATGAGTTGCAGCTTTCCTGGGAGAAGCTTGAAAAAATTTTGCTTTTATTTCCTTTGCCCGCTACGGCAGGTTCAATAACGGATCAGTCTGCGATTTATCATGTAAATATTTAAAAAGTGGATGCAGTTGAATACCGCTTAAATGCGCGGTAACATTCTTCGTGAATTTTTGATCTATAGCTTTATTTCGTGCTTTAGCGACACCTTTTGCATGCACATGCACAGGATATTCTAATATGTCGGAAGTGTAATTAATTCGAGTACCAGAATATAGAAGGTCATGCTAAAGGTCCAAGGAAAGACGTCTTTGCGTAAAGGCTTCCAATAACACTCTTTGTTCTAATTCTACCGTTTTCCTAACAGCCGTTTCACTTGGTAGACCAGGAATTGTACCGAAAGCACGGCCGTCTATTCGGGTAAATAAACCCATTTCGCACGTCTCCAGGTCCTAGCTGTAGCTTAGTGACGTATTCCCTGTTACATTCCTCAGGGTTTTTGAGGATGGCAGGCCAGGTCTTTACGTTTCTGACCCGGATCTTCTTAAATTGGTATTGGTTGCGGACTATGAGGACTCCGAAAGAAAGGTATGTTACCTGCTGCAGTTGAAGAACCCCACAAGTAAGCTCTTCCGTGTGTTCGGTGAATACATCGATAAACCTCGAGGAGTAACCACCGAGCCGGATTTCTTCGAAGTCGAGAAAAATAAAGAAGAATTGGAGTGGTTTTTGAGTAAAAGAAATGATCTCGATCACTCTTAAAATTCGGAAGACTCCGAATGTGACGTGCGTGTATTGTGCGTGCGTGATGATTGGCTATGCATGTTTAACGTTCTTGAAGGTTTCAGATGCTTTGCACGCGCGACAGGCCGGCCGTGTGCTCCCCGGGTTTTCAGGAATAATCGAGACCATTTTTTGTTTTTCATTATTCAAGATATTTGACGGTGTAAGATCACGTGGACAGCTACGCTTCGCCGTTCGGGAGGCAGCTTCGCCGTTTGGGAGCCAGCTTCGCCGTTTGGGAGCCAGCTTCGCCGTTTGGGAGCCAGCTTCGCGCGCCAACGGTCCGCTATTACCGCAGGCGCTCGGAGTCATACTTAGTCGGCTACGGATCGCACGGTATGGGGTTCAGTTCCCGCTTTGCCGCTCGGTAAATGTCGCCTAATTACTACGATTATTTGCGCTCAATAATGATTAAGCAAGACTGTATATAGTTTAGTGTGAGTTTTATATGATTTGCACGCTCATGCATTGAATCCTATACGGGTCTTGATGTAACAATGAACTGTGTGTAACAATTTTTCGTCACATCCGAAGGTAATTTTTTTTTTCGGCATGAAATCAGTCAAAACATTAGCAAATTGTGCATTACAGAGACTCGCATCGCGCCGAAGGAAGCGTAATAAAATATTTTGTAAGAGAGTCTGCTAATACCAAGAGTCGTCTCGGTGGCCCCTGCGGGAAGGTTCGACGCGTATCTTCGGCGCGCTTGGGGTCTGTGGGAGTCAGGAGATCACCGCCGATGCCTTGCCGTTCACGAAGCAGTGGAACGCATTTAAGGACTTTCAGGTTTAAGTAGTTTTCAGGTACATGAACAAGGCGGCTCGAACAGGTTGTAGTGAAGATGCGCCCACGGAATACCTTTGGCAGATTTGTCATTACCTTGAGGATCAAGCCTTCTTTCTTTTTAGTCGAGGAATCAGGGAGGCATGTCGATCCCGTATAAGTAAATTTCAGCAGGCACCGAAGTCAGTCCTCGGCAGGGGAACTTTTAGAGTACGCGCTACTCATTGCGGGTCCTCAAAATCAAGCAAAAACAATAGCCAACTAAAAGTAACTTACTCCCCCCCCCCTAAAAAAAAAAAATTCGGTCATTTTGTTTTTGTTTACCTCCGCAAACACTGTATAAATCATCAGACGCTCCTTTTTACCTCAATAAAAAGAGGAATAGAGAGGAAGTTTACACGCATCGAACCTTTTGGTAGTCAAGGCAGCGTTGTCTGTGCTGTTTTTAGCAGCTCTTTTGAAGGGTACGGCTGTGCCGAGATCATGTCTAACTCTTATTTCATGACATTTATTGTAAGTTTTAAACAATAATTTTATGTCTCTCACGAATAGAGACATTATAAACTTTTAACGCGCACACATATGTTGCCATTAGAATGGTTACGCTGAGTTGCTCGGTAAGTCTAGTGTCGTTAGGCAGCACGACAATCGAATGCTGAGCGCAAGTTCGTCTGCTTCTTTTACAGGACTTGTGGTGACGTCGAAACGCCGAGCTCTGATTGGCTCTGATCTGAAGAACCCTCAAGGAAGCTAGCATTGATGTCTACCCACTATCTTGCGTTCAAAGCCAATCAGAGCCCGGCGTTCTCCCGTCATCACAACCCCTGCAAAAGAATCAGACGAACTTGCGCTCCGTATAAAGCCGTGTCATGTTCGGGAGAGGCATTTTAAAGTTCTCAAGGCTTTGTTCTTTCCCAACCAATGTCAAACTACCTTGCGAACCATAGACAGAAAACTGTTTTCAACGCGAAATCATGAATGAAACGGTGTGTGTTATCCCTCCTTCTTGCGTGTTTTCTTCTCCTTTTCCGTCTCAGTTATGTGAGGCATTCATCAGTTTTCATGCGGGCGCACCCTTCTTTCAGTCTTAGAGTGATGGTTTAGGTGAGATGATAGGATTAAATGTCTTCGCATGATTAGGCATTTAAGTTTAGGTCGATTTAAGTCCATATATGTAACGGTAACCCTGACGAGCGTGGACTGGACGTTTCCAGACTGGCGTTTCCTGCGACGATTCACTGTTCGACAACATGGTAGCCATTGCTCCCTCCGAAAAATGGAGAAGGATTCGGGCTGCCATAACACCCCTCTTCACAGCGAGCAAACTGCGAAAGGTACAGTGCTACACCACGGGCCACCTTAGAGTTTCAAACTGCTTTCTCGCGAATAAATGTGAAGTTTTGAATGTTCATTGTACTATGCTTTATTTTGACTTGTGGCCTCGTAAAGACCCTATCACGGGGGCGTCGACTGAAGGCCGGTCAGCACGGTGCCACGGTGTCGATATCAGCGAGAGTGAACGTAGACCACAGCGCACTGATGCTGACCGACCCGCCGGTCAAATCTCCCTGGATATTATAAAACAATTGCAAAGCTGTACATTAAAACAACACGAGCCGTAGATGTCACAAACATATGTGGAGAAGGAATGCACAGCGATGTGCTTGTAGACCTGTAAAAAACTCCCACCTCACTGACGGTTCCATAGATGATGGCAAATGGTTTCATTGTGTAATGCACGAGAAAATGTTATTACTTAAATAAACTGGTTTTAGCACAAACAATAATTAAATCATTAGATAAGTTCTTAGGCGAGATTATGTATTGAAGTCTGGGGTGACAAGACGTTCTTCAGTGGTCATAAAGTAATACTAACGGTAATAAATGATAATAGAGTAGGGGTAATTTAATGGCAACTGTAATACATTTTATGACATGACATAACGATAGACTTCCATAAAGCATTCACAGAAATCACTCGTTTTTTTTTTTATGAGATATTATAGTGAAGTCTGATGATATAATTAAATTTTCCCGGTGTTGTACTGACTCCGAGTAACTAATGAGATCAACCTAGTGAGCGCTCCTGATCGTAACAACATGATGCATTTTCTTCACGCGCAAGTTTCATAAGCCATTTCGTTTTCTACATCTAAGGACTTGAGGTTCTGCAGAAATGTCATCAATTTGAGGCTTCTAATAATTTGTTATAGGTTATTCTTATACCAAGATATTTATTTATGCATGAAACAATTTTGATTATGTCGTTATTATTTGGGATATTGATGGTGTTTAAGCGACTGTTTTCTGATCAATTGAATTAGTTTCCACCTAGATTTGTTACGAGATACGAGTCATTCTCGCATGTTGTATGTTTCACAATCAAGGCGGCGCTTATAAAGAGTTCTGAATGCACACCGTACTATCCACAGATGCATAACCTTGTTCAAGAATTGGTGGTTGTTCCCACTGAAGCTTTGATAAAAGCTGCACGGGAGGGAGCAGATGTTGATCCAACACGGTGAGTATTCCCCTAACGTTCTTTATAACGGTTAAACTATGTAAGGTAACATCGACGTTGTATGCACATTATGGGGATTAACAGCTCAGTAAACACAGACAAGGAAGAGACACGACCACAGAAGGAGACAGCTGTACTCGCAACTGAAGTTTAATGAACAAAAAGGGCACAAGAAAGGCAAACAAAGAAATTGCAATGCTTGTTAACTTTCCAAATTCGCTGCCTTAGTAAAACGGATGTCTCATGGTTCAAAGTGTCAAAAGTGTTCGAAGAAACACTTGGAACATTCATGTAATATTCTCCTCTTCTGTCACGTCTTTCGCATGAGCACGTATCTAACATAGGTGAGTACTCTACGTACGCAAGTGTTCCTAACATAACGAAGTCCTAACGTCAGTTACCAATCTCGGTATTTAACAATAACCATATAATATTCTAATAAAAACACTTGACCTACGTGCCTGATTTTGTTTTTGTAACAGGCGGGTTTTACAAAACGTGGGAAATTTGTGTGTAAAACTTTAACGGCCATGTACTCTTTTTTATACGCTCTAAAATAGTTTAAACGCTGAAACAAAATTCTGAGTTCAGAAAACAGCGCGAAAGCGCTAGGCTGGGTGCTACAAACCCGAAAGTATCACCCGTAAAGCGATATCTCCAACGGATCTTTATATTTTTGTGAAAGAAGAGCGCGCTTGAATAAGGCCAAAAAGGTCCGTGACGTCGCTATTCTGGTTTTCTCCTCTTCTCGCTTTGACTCCGCGAGGACGCAAAGAGGGAAGGAAGCAAGGCCCTTTCCCCTTCTCCTCAACAATTCTGCAGGAAACGGGACGCCGCGATTCTCACTCAATCGCATCCTTATTTTACAAAAATACGGCCATCCGTTCGAGATGTCGCTTTATGACTAGTGTTTTGGGGCTTGTGGCGCCCCGTTGAACACTTCTGCTATACTTATTCTGTGAAATTCAAATTTCGGTTCAGCATCCCTTTAAGAGCTCTCGGTATTTTGCTTTTGCTACTTTCAACATCGCGCAGCAACACCCGTAGGGAAGCTCTCAAATGCTGACAAAACTAAGTTACCCTATTTTTCTCACAAAACCTCCGACCATACACCTGTAACGGGGCGCGCATGATTGGAAGGAACAGGGCAGGCTAAAGATCTTTTTACTGATAAGTAATAAGCGTTGTGAAAGTTCTAACTTATAGGGCTGCGTATTTTAAAAGCACGAGATGCTTTGAAACTGCAGCCTACTCATTCTTCGGTGTCAAAAACGGGTTCGAAAAATGCATTCGAAAATATCCTTTGGAATACGGCGGCTGCCAGGTTGATTTTTACTTCTCGGTCCAGCTGCGTCGTGGCGCCTTGTCAAGGGCACGCTTCCGCGTCGCGTGTCAACATGCCTCTCGCTCCAGCTGCATCGCCCCCATCAGCGGGCGGGAATACTTGCGTTCTATATTAGCAAGGCTGTGACGTTTTTAATAAAAACATTTCGTTCTTGAGACATGTTTCTGCGTCCGAAAAACGGTTGTGACTCTTTTTTATCTTGAATTTATTAACTCAGATATCGGTGCCACTCAATGTAAAAAAAAAACAAAAAAAACACACAGGCAAGCAGGGGAATGCTTAACATAGTAGATACCCGAGACGGAGGAACATCTTTGTTAACACAAGTCTCCGGTTTCCACGATGTTAAAATGCAAATGATTCCGATTCTTCTAAATTTTAGTATACACATAATTTTACCCACTCAATTGAGAAAATGCTTGGGCTCAAAATACATTAGGATGTGTCAATGGCTCGTAGGATTGAGCTTGTTTCGCATTTGTTGAGAATGTGAATAAGCATCTTTTTACTTGTTTACAATCGCAGTGACGTGCCTTATTTTAATAATTTCAGCTTGAAAGAAATATAGGCTCCACCTTCATAATGTAGTTTTTTTTTTTTTTTTTTTTTTTTTTTTTTTTTACAGGTTGTACTTTCCCACTGCTTCAAACGTATTATCAAAGTGTACTTTCGGGAAAGAAACTGATTGTGGCAATGATGCCAGCATTGATATCATACACGCATTATACGTCCCGATTTCCTTCTCGCTGATAGGTATGTATTTATCCATATTCGCGGAAGCGTATGATTGGAAAAGTACGAAGTCATCGAGATGAAGTACTAAGCCCCAAACAAGCATCATTAGACTTGGTAAAAAGTAGCAAAGGCGAAGGCTGCTTTCATATAAATGTCAATATAAAATGGTAGATAACGTCCGTTCGCATTAGGATTTTCCACTCAAGCAGCCTAACTTACTCGTGGTTGAGTATGCTCGGTTTTTAAACGTTCCAATAGACTTGGCAATCTTAGTTCAAAAGTGGATCGTAGTTTTGACGTTCGCAAAACATTACCGGGACGGCTTGCTAGAAACAGAAAATGGCTTTTGACATGCGGACTTAGCACGTTTATGAGATGCTTCTTTAATATAAATATATATATATATAGAGAGAGAGAGAGAAAGAGAGATGGGGAGTATATAAAGAAAATATAGCGTAGAACTGGTGATTGTTCCAACTGAAGCTTTGATAAACGGTGAGTATTCCGTCAATGTTTTTTATAACAGTTAAAACATGCTCTTATTTACTTCCCTCACCGTGTGCACTCATCGCCCCACTCTCTTCTTTCTTTTTCCTTTTTTTTGTGAAGGCCGATTATTACATTTGGCCGTTGGTCAAATGTAAGTGGCTTTCGTCGACTAGCATGCTATGGACTTAGTATGACGCGTTATGCGACAAGTGACGCGACCCAGGTGTATGAAACGAAAATAACAATGTAACCGATTTCTGCAACCATTCTCGAAGAAGGCCTGACTCAAGTCCAAACGTCGACTCGCTAAATGATTAAAAAACAATGCTTCGATGTGAGGCTTCGTTACTGTATATGTATACCGGGCGTATACGCGGATGATAATCTAATCATCCGCGTTTTGTCACTGCTAGCTTTGCGCCTGCTGCACCAGTGGTAACTTTGGTGCGCCCCCGAGTTTCCCACGAACTTCAAGCCGTTCTAATACTGACAGATATAGTGGTTTTTGATTATGTTCAGCATGTTCCTAATTGAAACCGTATGATTATTTATGCTAATTATAAAGTTAATTTAGGAACTTTAATTATTTATTCGACTTATGGCAAAGATTGGCCACCTATGCGATGTCCCCCTGGCCGTATAACTCGCCTGCCTAAACTGTATTAGTGAATATTTAACGGAATTTATGAAATAAATAAGGCAATTTGGAACATCGGTTGCAATAAAACTTTTTTTTTTGTATTATTCGCACGTAATAGTTTTACTTCTAATAACTCTGCCACAATATATTTCTATTAACTGCACCTTTCTTGAGCATACTTACTCCAAGCGCTGCGGCTGGTAATGATTATGTAACAATTAGGTATTCTATTTCAGTTTCTGTACGGACGTTTATGGAGAAAGTGCGCTCCAAATTTATAAGAAACAAAGCGTTTTACTTTTACAAGGAACTGTGTCTAAATATTGTAAAGAAGAAGCATCTGGATACGCACGTAAGTTATCATTTTTATACTAAATGTCGAGGCGATGTATTGTATTTTTGACATTGCGCTAGCAAAAAACACGCCATGAATTTGAATTTTCAGAAAGCATCGGACGTTTTGAAGCCTCCTTTCGACATCAAGGACAGCCCTGCATCTCGCAAAGAAAAACCAATAACACGTCTGTACTTTTAAGCATACTATCCATACATATTTGCTGAAACCCACTAAATGTTTACCGAAGTAAAGAATGCATTTGATTGATCTCTCACATTATGCCCTTTGTATTTGAAGGGCACGTAAGGACTGCGGACTCATATCAAAAGACTCTTTCACACATCAAAAACAACTTTAAAAAAAGCCTCATCCAAAAGAGGCTATATATATATTTTTTTAATATTGTGTATTTTGATGCGCGCCAAAATCGGCTGTTTGCGAAATGTAATTGCATCAATGGGTTAAAGACAGGTAATATTTTTAAATTGTCGTTTGTCTTTGTTCTTTATTCAGGAAAACCCCGCAGCGCCTCTTGGCCATTATTGCGAGGAGCACGATGCATCATAAGATAAATCAGCATTTTCGCAATACATCATTTCCGCTGATAACGATTTTCACTCTGATATATGGTACGCACAGAAGAAATGTGGGCTTAAAAAGATTTGTCTGGCGGCATACAGTCCAAATTGAAAGAATTACCTGTTTGCGGTGAGGTAGACTTTGGCTGTTGGAATGCGAGAGCCAGACTTCGGACGCCGGCGTTCCGCGTTCTAACGCATTCGGCGAGTGCAGTGTAGACAAAGACAGTCGGCTTTAGGTCTACCCACTAATCCATCCAACCAGAGCTCGACGTTCTGCCGCCCCCCTCGCTCTCTCGTCTCCTCCTCCTCTCCCTGACTTCCTCGGCGCATTGGTGCGCTCCCAAGTAGCCTTTATTCCGACAGCGTCTCCGCCAAGCAGACAGCGCAACTAAAATTAAAAAAAATATATAAACAAATAGGAGCAGTTCTGCGTTAATTCGACAGTGCAATCACAGAGACAGCTGGGACACGTCGCGGCGATAGTCTTTTGGGAGGCATCGGTGTCGCATTCACGCACCGCGGGGTCTTGACGACGAGGGACGCCCTACTCAAACCGACAACGGACGTCATTTTCAGTGGTGGGATCGAGCCCAGAACAGCTATCGCTGTAAAACAAGCATTCCTTCCGTAGAGACGCATGGGAAACGGGGTCCGCGACAGGCACTCCGCTTATCGAAGTGTCATCTCGTGGCGCCGGTTACAACTAAGCCGAGGACTTTATCTGGCAGCTTATATATATCTATATATATATATATATATATATATATATATATATATATATATATATAAAGAGGGAGAAAAAAGAAAAAGAGAGGGAGAGGATTGAGAGAAAGAGATTTTACACCGTGCTTTGAATCTATTCGACGGGAAACTCAATACTTTTATGCGGGTATATTACCGAGGTCCCATTCTGGGCTGAGGTCCAGGTTTTAAAGCCTTTGGTGATCTTAGGAAAAATATTAAGCAGAAAAAAAAAGAAAAACCTTACGGCACGTATTTTTTTATCTCGAACCTCATTGTTCATAGTCGATCATTGCCTTCAGTGCAAGAGTCCTTCATCACGCCAAGATCTCCACTGCTTTCATTTCAGCCTTTCTGGCTGCCCTCACAAAAACGTTGTCCGAAGAAGAAGCGCTGGCGCAGTGCATTTTATTTCACGTGGCTGGGGTGGAAGCCATTTCCGGTATAGCAGCGCTAGTCTCGTATTATTTGGCCGTGCATCCGGACGTGCAAGCAAAACTTCGGGATGAAGCAGACGACTGCTTCGCCAAACACGTAAGGACGAACAACTTTTGCAGCGTTAGTTACTTATTTACTTTTCTTTTTAGCAAAGTGAGGTAGATTTTGGAACTGAAATATTTTTGTTTAGCTAGGGACCTATCTTTTCTGCAAAGGTATCAATCAGACTGTACCCAGTTAGCACGCACTATGGTGCCTGGAGCGCGTCTCCGACTGGTGTGTTTAGCGTCCTATCCCGCCCATACATCAAAAGTGGTCCCAAAGTGGCAACAGATGACGTCACAGAAGCCGGAGTGTCATGCTGTTGCTTGTCGCGATCCTAAAGGTTGGCCGTAAAAATGCTGGCGAAAAGCACGAGCGAACGCGAGTGTCGCTGTCGTCACGGCGTCCCAGGCGTCCCAACTTCCGGCTGCTTTAACTTCCGTGGACTGTCACAGTGGAGAGCGACCTACAGCAGAACAGGCGTCTGCTATATGCACCACAACTGTTGAGACGCCGCCAGGATCGCGATCGGCGACAGCATGACACTTCTATGACGTCATCAGGCGGAAATCGAGGGACCACCTTTTTGGAGGCGGTAAGCACACCAGTCAGAGATGCGTTCCAGGCACCATAGCACGCACAAAACAGTGTGTCCCTCTCGTCAAAAACATTACGTAGTTGGCAAAACAAAATCAGACGGGCATATACTTCTGAAAGGTATTCATATAAAACCGCTAGCCAATCGCCCCCCCCCCCTCTCCCATCTTTTTTTCTCATTGGAACGAATGTGTTTCAGTATGGTACCGCCAGTGTTGGAAAGTACTTTAAGTACATTGTACTTAAAGTACTACTTCAAGTAGGTTTAGGAAACTTGTATTTTACTTGAAGTACATTCTCCGAGTATGTATACTTGTACTTTATTAAATTTTTTTTTTTTTTTCTGGTACTTTCCGAGGAAAGTACAATTTCCAACTTCAATGTACACTCCTCAAATTTGGTTTTGTTAAATTTGTATCACAAAATGATGCTTTGTCAGCTCCGAAGAAAAGCTGGAAGGGATATTCTACTCTTGTCAGAAACGTGAGCAGACGACGTATCACTCCATTTGTTCTGGTAGCGGCTTTCCCGTAGCTTTTTGCTCTTTCGCTACTTCTCGGTCGGTCAGCGCAAGCGAGGAGGTTTAAAGTATTAGGAGAGCGAAATTAACCATAATGTAGCACTTGAGACTGTGATGCGAAACAATTAAATTTTCAAGTCGAAATGAAAGGCAACAGAGGAGAACGTCACAATGTTTTGAGACATTATCTTTTGTTTTTTCCTTCTATTTGAAAGTTCCTTAATTCCAATCTCGGGTGTCAAATTATAATTAATTATCACCAGGGCGCTTGCACACTCCCTGTTTTTTTGCATTAAGGGGAGGACACTCCTATATGAGAGGATTACTTGCGGAAGCTACGGGTCTATCGTTATGCTCTCTCCTAGTACATTTAGCCCCCGTTAGTGCAACAATCCAGTGCAAGGGGCGCCAAATTCAGAAGAGGGACTTCCGAATTTGGCTCCATTCCTGAAAATAACTACTGTGTGGCCACTTGACTTTATCAAATATTCGCCGCTGTTCTTGAAAATTGGCCATGCACCCCTGATTACCTCTGGACCCTGGGCAGTGCATACCAGTTAAAAAATCACTATATAGGGGAATGAAAGGGCATCATAAAAGATTGTGCTAAAATACTTGTACTTTACTTTGAAAGTACATTGTATTTATAGTACTTGACTTCAAGTACGTAGCACCCAGTGTACTTAATACTTTACTTAAAGTACATCACGTCTCATTTACTTTGTACTTTACTTGAAGTACCTCTTAGATGTACTTTACTCAACACTGGGCACCGCGTATTACGGCAGAGACTGTTGACGAAGCGGACCCTTCGCAGCGATTTTGTTTTCTCCTTACCCACCCGAGTTTTGTCAACAGTGTAACTTCACCGTGAAATCTTGTTGAATATGTATTCGTTGTCAGATCAAGAATAAAGAAAGTTTTGCGCATTCATCACGCGCTGCATGAATTATTTCTTACAAGATTTCGTTATGATGTTAATGCGTTTGATGCAAAGGTGCAAGCGAGCTAGACAGAATAGGCGATACTATTCCCCAAAGAGGGAGATCAAGGGGGACAAAAGACAAACACAAATCTACAAACATAGCTAGGTGACTGGTGCGCGGTGCAGCTTTTGGCGTTCGAAACGCGCACGTTCCAATGAAAAACCATAAAGCTAATCTAAGACGCACCTACTCATATCTTAATTCAATGCACGAAGAAAACTGAAAGACGTTTACAATTCCCTGTAATGCCGAATTAGAGCGCAGCTCTTGAGGACGAGGAGGGGACGGTACAGAGAGGAGTGTATGCCCCTACCCCTCCTCCATACCGTCTCCTCCATCCCTTCTTTTCCCTCTGCCCCTCCTCCATTCTCCCCTCCCTTTCTCTTCCTCCTCCCTCGTGTCACTCGTGACCCTTGAACCTTCCCGAGTGAAGGTCGTGACCTTCGTCATGACCGTCAGGAGTGACCTTCGTGGCATCACTCGTGACCCTCATGACGTCGCACGTGACGTCACGTGTGACGTCATTACGGGAAACGTCCCATAATGCAACGCGCGGTTACGCCGACGGCGACGGCGACGCCGCTTTAACCGGAAACCGGCGTCTCAGAACTGCGCTCTAATACAATTGTAACGTTCACTTGTATTTTTTTTTACTTTAATGGTTCTTGAGGTGAATACGAGTATAACACCATTCCAATGTTTACGAATCCACAGTGCAGCGTGGGATCTCCACAATTTTACACGCTCATCTTAGTCCCTTCGGAAAGCCAGAAAATCACGCGCCATATACACGACCGCTAAAAATGGCACCGGTCTGGAGCCGTTTCCCTGTAAATGTCAATGGGTCCCCCTCATGGGGAGGGTAACGCACTTTACCGCACAACGCATTTGAGTACTAACAAAGTGAACTGAACAAGTCTGGAAAAACAGCACAAAAGCGCGAGGGAAATTGGGTCGTGCCTCCTAAATGACATATGCGTCACCTCATGATGATGATTATGGGTGTTTAATGGCGCAAGAGCTACAAGGCCATCTGCGCCGAACGAAAACATATACGTCAGTTAGCGGAGGCGGTGCGCAGATAGAACACGAGTGCTGCATCTAACAGAGTTACTAATTCAAGGCGAGTTCCGGCCGGCCGCTGACACAGCATTCCTACCTAGGCACCGTACCGGCCTCCGCGAGCTGACGTATCGTGGCCTTGTTATTTAAAGAGTAGGCCTTCCTCGCGCCTTTTACGTTGCGCATCCTTACTTGCTCGAACACTCCTAATGTAGACCACGCAGAAACCTTTTTAAGGCGATAGCGTTAAGGAGCTCGTATCACAGAAAAGCCGACGTCGGTGGCGTGACGCGAAAATCCTGATCGGTCGATGGGATCATGACGTCACAGCCACACGACCTCGCGCGGGAATTTCGAACAACCCACAACACTTGAAACATTACGTCACGCGTGAAATGAATGTGATTGAAAAAAAAAGAAAAACTAGTTTGAATTACAGGTTGCCGCATGTCTCAGATGATTACACATTATAAAACTTATCGTTTGCATCGAAGGAAAATTCGAAAAATTGTGGGCGGGATCCGAAACCACGATTCTTCGGTTGCGAGTCAGACATTAGGCCGTGTCCGAAGCACTTTCTGCTCACTGTCAGGAACAGCATGAGACGAGAATGAGAAGGCGATGTGAAACGGACCCGATAACGCTATTGCGTTCCACTGTTCAAGGCTAAGCTTAAGCGTCCTCCACCTTTTTTTGCACTTCCTCAATTGGTTGGGAACTGAATGCGAGCGTTTCTTTCAAATATCAGGGACGTTTTCCAAGCTATGACGTTGTTTCGAAGCTGGAATATCTCGACGCGGTTGTGTTGGAAACACTCAGGATTTGTCCGCCGTTCACGAGGTTCGTATACGCTGTCTCTCGATTATAGACCATGTTGATGTCAATTATGAGCGTTAATCAAAGTACAAAAAAGCGTTTAAAATTGTCTGTAATGCCGAATTAGAACGCAGCTCTTGAGGAGGAGGAGGGGAGGGTACGGAGGGGAGGCTATACCCATCCTCTTCTCGCAATACGCTCCCCTCCTCCTCTCGTGCTCCCCTCCTAGCGGGAAAATTTCGCTACATTTCCCGCTCAATTTAGCGAGAAAATGTTTTTGTTAAATTTAGCGGGAAAATTTCCCCGCTTACTTTAGCGTGGAAACGAGCGCTTGAGCTTGTGCTTGAGCGACGCCGACGCCGACGCCGACGCCGACGCCGACGCCGACGCCGACGCCGCTCAAGCAGGAAAGGGGCGCCTAAGAGCTGCGCTCTAAATGCAAGTGAGCGTGTCGTGCAATGTTCAAAATAATGCGTCCGTCGCTTAAAACAGTTTATATCTCGTACAACATTATGTGATTACCTTTTGATGCATACCCTCGCTAGCGAGAAGTCTGGTTGAGCATTTCGATCGGCTGAAATAATTGTGTATTTAATTAAGGGAATCACCTCGGCTGCTTTGGTCAAAAAGATTTCGGCACTTCCTCCATTATTGCTCTTCTAGCTGGGATCAACATTTCTTCGTTCCCGCCAGTTGTGCAACGTTTTTATTTCACCTGGTGAATTCGAGAATCTTAGCAATTGCGAACGTTAAGTTCAGTGCCATATTCAAGCAATATTCTTAGTCTAATGTCATTTTAATTTAGATTCGAGTGAGGTTCGTCTCACAATTACGTTCTCAGAAATTAATGGTATAGTTGATATTATAAATCTTAGAAATGTCGTCATCCAGCCCTATCTTCTATTCAGGTTGGAGCGCACATTCAACAAGGATTATGTGATTGGAAATACTGATATCAAGGTCCCCAAAGATTGCGTAATCACTGTTCCAATTTACGCGATGCATCACGATCCTGATTTTTATCCTAACCCAGAGTCTTTCATGCCTGAAAGGTAAGCTTAGGTTTGATGGCCATTTAGAAGTAGTAATAAAACTATGAGAAAGACAAATGTATACAAATATGTTCTCATCGCGTTAATCTATAAGGAATGTAGTGAACTCATCTAAATGGCAACCGACGATGTGCTATGATACAACTTTCTCTAGGTGACGTTGTTTAGTTCGACAGCCTATGTAAGACATTCGGTAGGTTTCTTTCTAAATTCTTCATAGAGGCTTGCGATATCTCTGCAGTATTTTACCTACCTATTTATTGTGTTTCGTGTTTTCCGGACAAATAAGACAAAACAAATATTCAGTCATCGGCCATCGTACCAAAATATTAGATCTACAATTTCTGCAAGAAAGCAAGGCTGAATAAAAATATATTAAACTGAAGAACATCGTTGAAGAAAACATGAAACCCGCAGACTTGAGAGTGCAGAAAAACATTGCGTATGTTTTCATAAACACAACCAAGACAACAAGTTCAGAAAAAAAAAATTGCAGTCCATATAAAAACCAGAGGAAAAATCGAAGGATTTATCTTATTGGTATAAAATAAATAATAAAATTATAATGAAAAACATCAAGACAAACCAAAACTGTATGCTGCTGAATTTGATTTTATAAATTAGCCCGGTCGGTGCAAAAAAAAAAAAATGTAGCAGTCTGAAACAAATTTTTTTCGTGAAGAAATTATCACTCAATATATTCAATAGTCAACACGGACATTTGGGAAGAGATTTCGGTGTTCTTGCTTAAGGTGAGTTATTTTTAACCGACCTTAATTAACCCGTAATGAAAGTGCGTTTATCACAACAATTGTGGACAAGTAATGAAAACTGCTTCTCGTTGCATTCGAGTCGGTACAGAAAAGCTCACAATATTGGGACTGCAGAATAAGAGCATTTCTCGTCAGGACCAAAGAGGGCGAACACTAAAAGCTGACACCTGACTTGTTAATAAATTCCCCAGTAGTAAAAAAACAGCGAAGTTTGATTGTTTGTTGGTTTCTAGAAACAATTTCACCGATATGTGTGATTTTTTTTTTGTTAAGATATAAAACCGTACATATGAACCCACAAGTTTTAGCAACCTCGAAATAATAACAAAATGTTCGTCTTAAACACAATAAGTGGACGCTGTGTTTTCAAATCATACGGGCCAAACGAATTCCAGTAAGATGTTCATCAGATTTTTTTCCCCCGAAGGTTCCTGGAGGGCAACGCCAGCGAGATTAACCCTTACACGTATTTTCCCTTCGGTTATGGTCCGAGGAATTGCGTCGCCCAGACGTTTGGACTCCAAGTTATAAAAACAATTCTGCTTCATGCGGTTCACGTGGTACAGTTCGTGAAGACGCAAAGAACTAAGGTATGTGTGCTGCAAAGAGTACCACTTGGAGCGCGAAGCTAAACTAATAGCAAGTTTTAGTAGACCGTGTTTCCCCCTCCGCTACGCCCCTCCGCTACCCGGAACTCTACAGCCAAGGCCATCGGCGTGCAGGCGCAGTGGCGGTTTCTTCGTAGCGGAGGGGGAAACATGATCTACTAAAATTCTCTAGTAGGGAGTTTTAGTAGACCGTGTTTTCCCCTCCGCTAACCGGAACTCTACAGCCAAGGCCATCGCCGTGCAGGCGCAGTGGCGGTTTCTTCGTAGCGGAAAGGGAAACATGATCTACTAAAACTCCCTCGTAGGGAGTTTTAGTAGACCGTGTTTTCCCCTCCGCTAACCCTCCGCTACGAAGAAACCGCCACTGCGACTGCGCGCCGATGGCCTTGGCTGTAGAGTTCCGGGTAGCGGAGGGGCTTAGCGGAGGGGGAAATACGGTCTACTAAAACTCGCTAATATGTTGACGCATCTGTTTGTTCACTCTTCTTTATCTTTTCCGAAGGTACCCCTTGATATGCGCACCGGATATGGAATGCTGATCCCAACGGATTTAATCGTTGGAATTCGGACGAGAAACTGAAGAGCCCGCAGCGACCAGTTCGTGTGCTTATTTTGCCTGCGGTTACATCGAGGTTGAGAAGAGGAAATATTTCTAAGCTCTAGATTCTAATGACGGGCATCCGTGTGCCGTTAAGATATGGGAAATGTGGTGGCGTATACTAGGACTTCAAGCGGGGAGTGCTTATAAAAAAAAAAAAAATGCCCGCACAACTGTTCGCAGGGTCCTTAACAAAAAGTAAAAAAAAAAAGTAGATGAGTTTTTTTAAGAACATTGTCAATATGCACCAGGGATGGTTAGCGTTTCGTTTTATAACACTTGTCAATAAACTGTCGGTGTAAAGTATGATGTTGCTTTTTTCTGATGTGCGAAAGTCAAGAATGATTGGAGTTGATGCGCATAAGTTGCATTCACGTAAACGCGGCTAATAGGGAGTTTTAGAATAACGTACGCAATTTTAGAGCACGCTAGCGCTAAATTTGCGACGCAAGAGACTTTTAAAATAGCGTTTCTCCGCCGCGACGCAAAAACCAAAGCATCACAAGCATCGCGCTTGCAACACCACCAAGATACTGTCACGATTTTTATTTCACACACGAAATGCTGCAATTTGAGATTTTTGGTCCGGAGTAACAATTTTACATTTGTTTAAACGTGAGAGTGCGACGCGAGCGGTCGACCGGTCGTGTCCGCCGCATGCGCCGCCTCGGCAAGAGTGTACTGACCTTCGCCGATAAACGTCCGCTCGTCGCAAGCATGAAGTTGCCAGTGATCGTTGCCCACCCGACTGGGTTTTCCAAACCGAGTGCAATATCGTCCCGTATTGAAAACCGCAGTCGCGAGGATGCCGCCGACGTCGCGCCCAGGACGCCGCCAAAGCGGCCGCAACCATAATCCTGGGGGCCGCCATTTTTTTTAACTGTGCTTGTCTTGGCTTTAGCCAACTTCTCATCACGAATCCTCCTGAGAGGAGCGCAAAGATGCTTTGCGTACGCACGCTATTTCCGAGAAATAACGCACGCTAAAATTGCGCACGCAAAGCGCAAAACCTGGTTTGCGTTCGGATTGTGCGCAGTGGCGACGACGCTATTCTTTGCGTACGCAAAGCTTTAGCGTGCGCTATTCTAAAACTCCCTAATGAATAAAACGTTAAACTCGCACAGAAAGTACCTATAAAAAAACGCGTACACACAAATTGTATTCAGACGAAAAAGAAGCAATATTAAGAATTTATTTTATTCACTTACAAGCGTTGAACACGCTACAAAGCGAAAGTAAACTTCACATCAGTGCATTTCTTGATGTTGACAGTGTCTTCGACAGTGTGCCGCATATTTTAATAGCACGCGGGTTGCCAAATTTGTTTTTAAAAGATACCAGAATAAAAAAAAAATTCTTTCGAAGCAACCTTTATCGTGTGAATGCACCATTACATTCCAACGGCGGCATATGTGGCGTACATCACGTTGTGAGAGAAGAAAAGATTCGCGCCCCGGCTGGACGTGCTCCGCATGGGCTCCGCTTCCACCTGGTTATAGCTTTGTATCATCGCAACCACACCAGTCGAATTGATACCAAAGTGTTCCTAACGTCACCAGGACCACATCGGTGCCAACAACTTCGCCCATCGATACCGGGTACGTGAATCACCACCGAATTATGACCAGCCACGCCGGCGCTTTTCGCTAAGCCTAACGTCGCCTTCGCTTGGCGAGGCGGCAGCCGGCTTGACGTGAGCCCTTAGCGACAGAGGCAGCAACCACCTGCGCACGTGCGGTTCGCTCCACTCAACGCACCGACATGAGCGCCTCCCAACCAGCTGCCGACGCGGGAACTTCAAACTCTCCGCCGCCGCCTACCACCAACTCGCCGCCGCAGCAGCTCCCAACTTCTCCGACTAACACCGCCATTCTGATCACGCCAACGCATGTCGAATACATGGTTGAAGGGGACGAAATCGATCCCGACATCCTACGTGAACCTGGATGGAAGACAATTCGCTCCCGCATCGCAGCAACAGCCGCTACTTCAGCCACCACCACACCCGCTGCTGAACCCACCAAGCCCCAACAAAAACGCCGACAACATCGCAAGAAACCTACCACCCCCCCAGAAGACCCGCTCCCCCCTGATGACTTCAAGGTTGTCCTTCGTCCTCAGGGCGGTCTGGACCTCAGCACAACTAATGCAGCCCAGCTAGCCGACTGCATCTTCCACCAAGCCAAGATAACAGACTTTGCTCAAGACCAAGTACGCATAAACACCCGTTCAAACTTCATCGTAGTAAGTACCCCCGATGAACGCAGAGCCCAACAATACATGGACCTCAATGCAATCACTTGGAACGCTACCCAATACCCCGTCCAAAGCCACATACCCCCACCCAGCACCACCACGCCAGGAGCAATATTCCAGATCCCAGCTGAAGACTCCGAACCACTAATCATGGAAAGCCTCACGCGTCATAACCCCACCATAACAGTCCTCGACGCCCGTCGCATCAAAGACACGGGCATCGTGCAAGTCCTCTTTTTGGGGCCGCATGTACCCTTCTGGGTGCGGTACCGTGCGGTTATTCTTCGTTGCTACCCTTACAAGAGGAAAACCGAAGCATGCATGGCCTGTTGGTCAGCTGGCCACAGGCGAGATGTCTGCCCCAAACCCTCACCGAAACCCCACTGTACAATTTGTGGTACACCGGGCCCCACACCAAATCACCCATGCCAGCCTCGCTGCATCCTCTGTGGACAAGATCACCTGACAGGTGCAGCGGGATGCCCTAAACGCTTCCAGCCTCGCCGCACCCTACCGAAAACCCTACCCAACATACCCCCCTTCACCCCCGAGACCGGACCTGACCGGAACACCACGACCTTCACCACACCCGGACTCACCTGCAGCCAAGCCGCTCAGGGCCAGGTGCGCGCAGCTCTGCTCCCAAATCCCCCAATTCACCCACCCCCACCCCCGCCCTCCACATGGCAAAACGAAATGCGCCAAATGCGCCAGGAAATGCAGCAACTGCGTAACACTATCACCCTCCTTCGCGCAGACAATGAGCGTCTACAAGCGGAAAACCGTCTCCTTAAACAGCAACTCCAAACCTCCCACAACCCTCCAGCCCCGTCACCCGATCAGCTAACCACCTGCCCCCCGAATAAGAAACGGGCACTGCTCCCCAATACTGACCCTCCCCCCACATCCTCAGGTAACGCAGAAATAGCCACCCTACGCGCCGAAATAGAAACGGCTTTCGATAACCACCGCCAACACACCTCTGCCCAAATCAATGCAATCCAGGAATCGGTACATTCCCTACATCAAGAAGTCCTACAATGGATGCACCTTGCCGCCCCAGCTACCACACCCTTACCTATAACCCACGAAAATGACCCGGACCTCTAACACACAATACATCTGGCAATGGAACTGCCGCGGTTTTCGAACTAAAAGAGCCAACCTCCAAGCACACATTGCATCTATACCCAACCCCCCCATCCTCATAGCACTACAGGAATCATACCACTCACCCAAGCTCAAAGACTATGCATCTCACTCCCCATCGGATTTCCCCCAGATAGCCACCCTTGTACATCGCAATATTGCCACCCAGCACGTAACTTTCGCCTCACCGATCCCACATATACTCACCACACTCCACCTTCCCAAATCCCTTGTCACACGCCTGCATGTTCTTAATATCTATAGCCCCCCTAAATCCAAACACATATCCTTCAAATACATCTTCCAGCAGGCACTCGCTTTGACTAAACGTGACCCTCTCCTAATTGTAGGTGACTTCAACGCCCCTAACATAGAGTGGGGCTACTCTTATACCACACGCAAAGGCCGCCTACTCTCTGAACTCACCCATACCCGGAACCTCACCCTTCACACCGACCCTTCCTCCCCCACACGCATTGGCAACAGTGCCCAGCGCGATACCACTCCCGACCTCACCTTTAGCACCGGACGACTCTCCCTTCACACATCCACAACACCACACACACTTGGCAGCGATCACTACATCATCAGCACGTGTCTTACCCTCAAAGGCATCTCCACAAGCCCCCCACTTCCACCACCAACACACACAGATTGGGATCTATTCCGTACCGAATGCCCACTCCCACCCACCACCACCTGTGATTCCGACCTAGAACAATGGACGACCCACCTTCTCTCAGCTAAACAGATTGCAACCAAAACTATCGATCCTCCTCCCCCAGCGGAATATGTAGATACCCACCTCCGTAACCTCTGGGAGGCTTACACCAGCCTAGAGCAGCGCTGGCGGAAACATAAACACCGACGGAACCTTCGCCTCAAACTACAAACTCTCCGCACTAAGATCGAGACGCACGCACTCACATTAGCCAGGAACAACTGGAACAATATTTGCGACGAAATGCGAGGCCAGCTCTCCACTAAGAAGGTTTGGCACATCCTCCGTGCCCTACTCGACCCGCGCACTACTAAGACGCAATCTCGCCACGAAACCACACAAATTATAGCGGAAACTCAGCTCTCACCCACCGCCCTATGCGACACCCTCCGCTCCATATACATTCCACCTCCATCATCACACCCTGTTGGTCCTCCACAATACACTGGCAACCCCAACCGAGAGCTCGACGCCCCCATCACCTTTGCAGAACTACAAGCGGCGGTGCAAGCCCTCAAACGCAACACCACACCAGGACATGACAACATCACAAACACCCTCTTACGTCACCTCAATGAGGAGGTCCTAGAACACCTTGTACAGCTCTTCAACCAACATTGGCTTAACCACACCCTTCCCTCCACCTGGAAACACTCTGACATCACCCTTATCCCCAAACCTGGAAAAACACCCTCCATACACAACCTTCGCCCCATCTCACTCACCTCCTGTCTCGGCAAACTTCTCGAACACGTCCTGCAGAATCGCGTCAATGCGCACCTTGAATACACACAAACCTACCCACCTAATATGATCGGCTTTCGACCCAACTTATCCACGCAAGACGCCCTTATACAGTATCATCATGATTTCCACCAACACCCCCCGCAACGAGATCACACCTCTATACTCTCATTAGACCTCCAAAAAGCCTTTGACAATAACTCACACCATAGCATCCTTCAGGCAATCTCATCCCAAAACCTAGGCCTACACTTCTACCACTATATCTATAACTTTCTCGCAAAACGTACCGCTACCATCCGTTTCGGCCATGTCCAGTCTGATTCTTTCCACATGCCAGACCGCGGAACGCCACAAGGAGCGGTCCTCTCGCCCATGCTCTTTAACCTCACCCTAATCCCACTTGCCCGTACTCTCCTCACTATCCCCACACTAC